TTGTTTTTGTTTACCTTTGTTAAAATGTTATCCTTTATTTTTTGTGAAGAAAGCAGTTTCTGAGAGCTGAGTAGTACAGATATTTTTAGTTATTGCCCCTTCATTTACTAGTGTTGGGCATAATAAAATGCCTCGAGTTCGAAGACGTCCAAAGTATCACCTTGTTAGCCAGTTTGACAGGGGTAGAATTATTGCCTATCGAAATGTTGGTTTGTCCTATCGCGAAATTGGCCGCCGTGTTAATTGTACTGCAATGACGGTAATGCGTGCGTGTCGTGGGTGGAAAGAAGAAGGTAGAGGAATATGAAGAAGGCCAATAGGTCCACCGAGGCGTACCACAGAGTGTCAAGATAGGCGCTTCAGACAACTAGGCATAATGCCATTCTTCAGCGACGAATCGCGATTCTGTCTAGGTACGCACGGTGGTCGCAGAAGGGTAAGAAGCTGCCGTGGAGAACGGCTTGATATTGGATTTGCTGTTGAGAGGCATGTACAAGAACACAGGACTGTTGGAGTAATGGTTTGGGGGGCTTTTGCCTCTGGTAGCCGATCACCTCTTCTCTTTGTTCAAGGCTGCGCGTTATGTTGATGTCCTAAAAACCACTTTACTGACGTATCTAGAGTGCCGTCCACACGTCTTTTTTCAGCAAGACAACACACGTTCCCATATTGCTAGTCGTACTACGGACTTTCTTCAAGAAGCAGGCGAATAAAATGAATAAAATTTTCCTATCCTTGAGTATCTTAGGCTGGCGTTCAATGCGTTAAGGGATGTTTATTAACTGTTTGATTTGTCGTGTTTTAAACTAATAAACAGAGTTATGTACTGTGCACACCTGACACGTGTATCAGCACTTTAATGCACATTCTTCATTTTAATAGAAATGTCCTGATGAATTTTTAAAAACATCAATTCCATGAAACATCTGGTACATACATTCTAGCGATCATTTTAAAGTAATTTGCAATAGTCAGATACGACTGATTGGTCAGATAAGCAAGATGAGGTTAGAAAATATCGTATCTACACCCTATTTCACGAGTATTCATCACGCTTTAACGTCTACTGAGGTGAACAGCTGATCAGCAAGTGACATTTTTGTGTTAGTCTGCGACGTTGGCAATAGTGAATCACTTCTAAACCTAGTAAAACTTATTTGTAGCGTTTTGTTTTTTGCATGCAACTGAACTTTTCTAAATAAAAGAGGTATTAGCAAGTACAAAATGAACCTGTAGAGTACAAAAAACTAAAACAATATACAGCTCTGGCTACCTGACGTTGACGGATCCGTCAGAATTATGTGTCCTGTGCCGATATGGGGAATTTTGAAATATTACTAGATAACTAGCTGTCATTGTTCCGTGATGGCTACTCATGAAATAAGTTGCACACAACCCCCCCTTAAAAGACGAAAGTCACTTAATTTTACATGTATATAGTTTTCCAAAACAATTTTCGATATAAAAAAAGCATCAGCATGACGAGTGTCAACATTGCTCACAAACTATGCCCTAAATATTCGCAAAAATTTCAATTTGTTTATTTTTTCATAAAATAATAAAAGATACCACTACCCGCAAAATAAATAAATGGGTGGTGCAGAATTACTTGCACACAACATAAATCATGCAGGGTGTTCAAAAAGTACGGATTCCGCAAAATATGTCAAAAAATACGTTTCCTAGAGAAAAACGACGGTGACCTTGACGATGAACTTTGGGATCATATGAAGATCAAGACAATTTTCTCAAACGGAAACGCTATTTTTGACACCGAAATCGTTAAGATTGGGAAATTTCACGTCCAGGTATGTCTTTTCCCATGACCTTGACAATGACCATGTGTAGAGAGAGTAAAACATCTCTCAAGATATGCTATCCGGAGACAAATGTTGCAGAGCAAATTTCCAAGGTTCAAAGAGGGTCATCTAAAGGTGACCTTGAACTTGAACTGAACCACGACTTTATGATACTCGAGGATTTACCGCCGCGGAACCAAGAATATGCGTATCTGGTTAAATATTAATTTGGCCTTTAAATGACATTGAAGATCGGAGTCAAGGTGACGGTACAGTAAATGACCTTGTCCGTAAAATAGTTCGCTTTTATATCCCCTACATAAGGAGTGTACTTCAAAATTCATCTGAGTGTGACTTTCAAGATCATGGTCAGGTTCACTGGCAAGAATATATTTAAACGTAAAATTGTCCGCAATTTGCAATTCAGGAATTAAAAATTCCTGTTAAAAACTCATTTGATCTTCAGATGACTTTAACGGTAATAGTTAAATTCATTGACATTCCTGAGCTAACGGTTTTCTACTCTACAATTTCCGGTGCAAAAATAGAGGTTTCCGTTTAAAGAAATATTCTTGACCTTCAACATAACACTTTTCAACCCTTACAACTCTGATCTACAAATTTTTTTTCTAGGAACTGTTTGGACATCCTGTATATTGTCTCATGCAAGCAATGCCCAATGACCATAAAAAAGGGGGAAACGAACCATATGCGATTTAACGTGATTTCAAAAGTATGTACCGTTAGATAGGTCTCTTCAAGTGGAAAGAGATTTGTTAAGGTGAAAAGTGCGAATTCGTTGTCCGGGTTTGAGAAAAATGCTGTAGAATACAGGTATGTGCACTGATTTTTATGTGTTAGGTTGCTAAGTCTGATACCAAAAATGATACCAGATATTAGAACGGGAGTTTATAAAAACTGCGTCCACACTTACACACATGTGTATCGCATTTTATCAAAGCATATTAGCTGAGAATAGACCAAAATATCAATAATTCGGATTTTTTTTGGTTTAGTGTTTGCACTCCTTTCCTTGATACAGAATATTTTTGTTTTCTGAGTTATTGCTCGGATATTCAAAAATTGGTTAAGTACAGCACGAGCCAGTCATGAATTTAAGGAACGTATCGTCAGTCGTTCCTACAACTATAGCACGCCTTTAAGGCCTCCTTGATTTTCATGTTTCATAGTTTTCTACTGTTTCGTGTCAGATCTTCATTTTAAGGTTAGTTATTATTATTTACATCAAATTGTTCATGCTTTTGATTATCATCTGTTATATCAGCCTGAAATTTCATACAGTTGAAAAAGTCAGCATAGCCTCACAACAGGAGAGCGCTGACGCAGACACGAAACAGTAGAAATCTAGAAATACCCCAGCCTTTCTAAAGGAGAGAAAAGACTATGAAAATCAAGGAGGCCATAAGGGCGTCCTACAATTGTAGGACAGACGATACGGCCCTTATACTCATTTAATACAGCAATTTGAAATGGACTTTTTGTACCTCTTGAATCATTATCTAGATTACCTTTTGACAAAATAATAATGATAAAAACGATAACTTTCCAACATAATACTCTAATAAGTCGGCATCGTTTGGAAGATGTTGTTTATATCTGCAAGTGACATAAAAATAAATTAAGCCTGATCAAATAGCAAACAGAAATAATATTACGAAATGATGCAAGTATAAATAAATGTAATAGGTGCAAATATTTCTGTGGCAACGACATAAACAGCAAAAAAATCGCTTTTGGGATAACAATGCTCCGATCAGACAACGAATTGGAAAAATCCACACCGACTTTTCAAACGATATACAGGGTGTCTGCGAAAGGTTGGGAAATCTCGAAACTGGAGATACTACAGACCAAAATATGCGAATTGACCTAAAAATACCTTAGTCAAAAAGTTGATAGTTTGCTAGATACAGGGTGTCAAAGTTACAATATTGTTTTCTGTTTTTCCTTATTGCTTGAGAAGTATTTCAGATTTTGCCATAAAACTCGGTATAGGGAGGTTTTCTAGTATGAGAAACAAGAATCCCTAATTTTTTTGACCAAACTTCTAGAAGGCGCCACTTACAGCACTATTTCGGTAAATAACTTATCATAACTTTTTTGTGCGACCCTGTATAAAACAACTGACCAGAAAATATTATTTTCTCGTATTTTCACAACAAAAAAGGTTTACTTGTTAGAAGTGTCTAAAGCTAATAGTTTTAGAGATATTTGTTTTTAAAAGTTCCATTGCATTATTTGTACCATGATGATAATACATTTTTATAGCATAATAATCAAGTTGCTTTGGATAATAACTAGTAGCGTTGCTATGGTTTCTAATATTTGTCATAATATTGATTTAAACTTCATGAATAATTTTGAGTTGACAATAAGCTGTTAAACATGCGTATACGTTTGATGAATATTCTGATATGCATTTAATGTTCGGATTGGCAAGATGTAATGCTTTAAAAACAAATATCTCGTAAACTATTAGCTTTAGACACTTCTAAAAAGTAGACCTTTTTTGTTGTGAAAATACGAGAAGATAAGATTTTTCGGTCAGTTGTTGTATACAGTGTAGAACAAAAAAGTTATGATAAGCTATTTATCGAAATAGTGCTGTAAGTGGCGCCATCTAGTAGTTTGGCCATAAAAATTAACGGATTCTTGTTTCTCATACTAGAAAACCTTTACCGAGTTTTATGCCAATTTTTTTTTTTTGGCATTGGAAGTTATCCATTTGCCACAGATGTGTGTTACTTATATTTCTCTAATTATGGACAAACACACGACGTCACAACATCCATGGCGAAAGCGAGATTCGAACTCGTGGCCCGGCCGGCCGGCTGATCAGTAGCACGACACTCTGACCAACGCGGCCAACCGAGGCCCCCTTATGCCAAAATCTGAAATACTTCTCAAGCAATAAGGAAAAATAGAAAATAAAATTGTTGGCACCCTGTATCTCGCAAACTATCACCTTTTGGACTAAGGTATATTTAGGTCAATTCACATATTTTGGTCTGTAGTATCTCCATTTTCGAGATTTCCTAACCTTTCGCATATAGGCATGGCTACCATGAATCATGTAATTGTGCGCTTTGTCCTGCTTTATTGCCTCAAAAAAGTCATATTTTACCATACGGAAGCAGTCTGAATACTTAAAATCCAAAACAGCTCATTGAAGAAACTCACCAAATGTAGGCCTGGGTGTCTCGCCGTCAGAAACTTCATCACCCTGCTGGAGTGCGAGCAACGCCCTCAACCAGGAATCCAGCTCCTCCTCGGATTCCAGCACCACGCAGAAACAGTCGGCCTTGGTATACAGGGCGATCACGTGCTTGTGCTTCGTGTCTTGCTTGCGGTTGATGTTGAAGCAGGTCTTCAGAGGGATGCTGCGCTTGGCAGGCAAGCCAGCCGCCCATTTTTTCTCGGAGTCGTAGTACTCCAAGCGCGCGGACGCGTCGACTGTTTCCGAGCGCAGAACGAACCTGGAAAATGTTTTGCTTAGTTGCAGGAGTATATCTCTTCGTTGGTTTGGCGTGAGCCAAATTAAATTTTTATAACTTAGAGTGTTAGGCCAACATTTTTATCGTACAGGGTGGGCCATTAAGTCGCGCGGATTTTAAAACTCATAGAAAAAACTACAAAACGTGGGGAGATAATTTATATTTTTAACAAAGTAGACACATAGGAATTTTATTTTTTTTAAATATTATTGAGATGTGGGCTACCGAGACGTACGTACTCGTCGAATCTCGACTTCAAATTCGTGAATACTCGCTGGCACATCGCTCGTGGGATAGCGGACATCTCCTCGGAAATGTTGTGCTTGAGCTGGGCAATCGCCGTCGGTTTATTGGCGTAAGCGCGGCTCTTGAGGTATACTCAGAGAAAAAAATTGAGTGGTATGAGATCTGGGCTCCGGGGAGACCACGGAATGTCCCCTCGTCGAGATATTAATTTTCCACGAAACATTCCGTTTACAACTGCTAAAGACTCGTTGGCGGTATGGGATGTCGCGCTATCTTGTTGAAACCAGATCCTGCTATGGTAGGCTTTAAAATTATGTAGTTTCGGAAAGAAAAAGTTACGTAGCATTGCTGTTTAGCTATTAGAACTTACGGTTACACTCTGGCCTTTCTCGTTTTCGAAAAAATAAGGTCCGATGATTCCTTCAGCCGAGATTGCCGTCAAAACTGTAAACATAACGCGAATGCAAAGGTCGTTGGTGTTTTAATTCGAGATTTTCTGCGGACCAATACTGGTAATTTTGCTTGTTGACCAATCCACTCAAATGAAAATGAGCTTCATCAGAAAAGAGAACATTGTTCAAACTTGGAAAACGCTCTAACTAGTTGAAGTTTATTTGGGTGCAATTTAATGTCTTTTACCAAAATACGCCTTACAGATGATCTTTAGATATGGCGAGCTCAGCTGTTCTCTTTCAGGATGATAACTGTGGATCGCGCCGTACGGACGTCGCAACTTCGCTTACAGTTTCCTCTGTTCGTACTGACCTTGGACGCGACCCGTAAGTTTCTGATTCAGTGTCGAACCGGAAGACTCGAACTTTCTGACCTACGACCTGATCACACTTTCACTGGGACATCGATTTAGATCACGTAAACTCAACTCAGAAACAGATGCCGCGCAATAATACATGAATCTCCTTTTTTGTAATGAGCCTTAATACAAAACGCACGCTGCTCACTGGTGAAACGCTCCATGGCGACTAAATTTTCGAGCACCAAGCTTCTTATCCCCACTACCCGTGTCCCGCTCCAGCGTGTCTCTCACAAACGATGCGGTTTTGAAATTCGTACGTCTTTCTGGTCCAACCTGTATAATGCATTATGGATAATATGGCATAACGTGTTCGGTTACGGGGTCAGACCAAGATTTACGTGGTACAATTCTGTAAAAGAGACGGGGGTTTATTTTGCACAACTTGGCCCGGTTTTTCTGGAAATATTTCTTTTTCGAGCGCTAAGTTGTGTACGCTTTTACAAATAAACAAAGTATCACAAGTTAATTGTTATTGACACACAGAGAGGGTGGTAATTAAAACACACCTGTATCGATATGATACTAACGTGTCATTGTCAACGATGGACGGCTAAAATCATATTTTTGTAGATAGATAAAAAAGTTTATGTTTTTTGTTTCTTGAATAAATCCTTGCACTAACTACCTCATGCATAGATAAGATTTTTTTACCATGTTCATGAAAAAGCAATGGGATGAAACTTACCATTTCTTCCGGGATGTCTTCAACTTCTTCAACAGTCCACATTTTACAACATCTCCACCAGCAGCACTGCCACCAGTGGCAGTACCATGCCTGGGCTGTTCTCTTTGTGGTTGCTCTCTGCAAAGTTATATTAACTTAATAGAAACAAATAATATCAGCGGATAACGAGGGGGGAGTCGGAAATAAAATTTCTCTCGAACCACCGGCCGCACAACAAAAAACACGTCAAGTAGTCCACGGCGTAGCGGGTCTACTAATTAGTCGCCGAGAGCTGCCCGGGTTCAAATCCCGTCCCAAGGGATTTTTTTTATTTGAATTTTGTGGTTGTCCGTTAGTGATCGATAGTCTCAGGATGTCGAACGTGGAGGTACCACCCGACGCACAGTGGTTCAGAGGGCACCATTTCCGCGAAAAAAGTATCAAGATTTCTAATTTTGTTACTGGTAAACCGATTTTTATGAGCCTCATTAGACAGCTAAAGAAATTCCCTATAAAAAATGATATCAAAAATTGACAAATGTCAAAAATTGAAGATGGCTGCACTATGCAGGGCGTCCTTAAAAGGTCTTTACAAAATTTTAGCACATATTCCTGAGTTCAAAGTAAACCCATTTTAAGTAACTAAATCAAAATCCGTTTTTTTTAATTCATGAACATATTTCTTAACGTATTACTTGAAAAATTGGTATCCGGCGGTTTTTTGGGATGCGAAACTCAAATATGGACATTTTTTCATTGTGGCCGTTAGAGGGCGCTTCACACTGCCCTTCGGATCGTTTTAAATTGCCATCACTTTTTTCTCATTTTAGTTTTTATTTTTTTTGCAATTTCCTCGATATTTTTAAGCAAAAAGGCACTTCTGTTAAAATAGGGCATGATCAGGAGTGTTCGAGAAATTCGCAAATTTCTGCATCAATGCAGGTTGTGGGGACCCTAAATCAAAATGCTCAAAACTTGACAAAAACTGTGTATGTGATAAAACGCGTCAAAATGAACAGTTTTATTTCCTATAATAAAGATGTGAATCAAATTTACTAAAATAGCTGTAGTCTCAAAAAACTTATGACGAACAGACGATTTTTTTAAGCATTTCGAGACTTAATCATTTTTTACAATATAACTTGAGCTTTTCTAACAGTTGAACTGTGTTTTTGGTTCTGTTCAAATACCACTCATTAAATAAGACTATATTTTTCATTTTGGTTGGTTTCTGTCGCGCACTAAGCTCTAAAAATTCGTCTACAAAAGGTGCAAATATTTTCAGCTAGTTTTTTCTCTATATGTTGAGCTGTCTCAAACGCACATCTTACACTTTTTTTAAAACATGGAAATACCTGTATTTGTTTATTGGAACCCATTAGTGTCAAACCTCTGAAAAAATTCACGGATTTACTAAAAAATATGCCAAGACAGCGCAAAGTGACTGTCAACATTACTTTCAAATTCACTGTTTTTCCAAACATATTGAACTTAATAGGTCTGAGCCTTCTGTGATTAGAGTTACGTCATAGGGCACGCCTAAATTTTAACAAAATTTATGATGAAAATTGATAAAAAATATCTTTTTGTTTTGAAGTTAAATAAATGAGAGATGAAATAATGTAAAAAAAAGAAAATGTTGCAAATAGGTAATTTTGGGTTTAAAAAATATTTAAGCAGAAAATGAAGAGAAATATAATATTTATACTCAGTTACTATTTTCGCGGAAATGGTGCCCTATGAACCACTGTGCGGCGGGTCCAAAATGTGTATATGTCACCTCGGTGGTGTCCATGTGACGTCACCCTTTCCCCTATTACTCCCACGCCCTACAGCCCAATGGTCCAACCATCAATCGGCCACCGTCAAAAAGTACATATGTTTATTCGTTTCACGTTCTTCAATGATCGGCAATGGGTTGAAGAAGCATCCAAGTACATGTGCTTATTTGACTACCAGTCAGCAAAATGTATTTTCCACCAAAAAATTAATTCTGTAATATATGTGTGTGGCTAATTTTATTTTTATACTATCTATAATCGATCAGCTCTTAAAATAATTACCGTTAGCTTGAAGAACTTTGTCAGTCATTTAAATGAGGAGGATTCAGCTAATGGTTTTGGTATGAAAATATAATTCTTGAATAAGTGATTTCAGGCAAAGTGGAAAGTAATGTCCTAGAAGTTTTGGCACAAAATTCATTGGATTTAATTTTAACAAACACAAAATAATATCAAGTTGCCTTTGGAAACAAAAGTTTGTTTGCTTACTTTACTGTCAGTTGATATGTATTTATTTTGACGTTTTCGCTTTAGATGTCGTATAAATTAAAAATAATAAAAGTATCTACAAGTTGGCCGGGCGGGTACACAAAGCTAAAATCTGTCGAATATTCCAGAATGAAAACATTTCACGTAGAACCATTTATCGAACAATAGCGGAGTGCGAGCAGGGAATACCATGTCTGAATCTCCCAAAAAGTGGAAGACCATGTGCATTTACTGCACAGAGGTTAGAGAGTACTTCTCAAGTTATAGGCGGTAATAAAATTAGAGGACAGACCGACAACATTTTTGGCATAGGAAGTAAAACTTATGTTGTTTATACAATAAACGTAGATTATATTACCTTTAATAAAGCGATTATAGTGAAAAAGCGTGTTCAAAATGGACTTAAATGATTTTAGAAACAATGGATTCAAATATCCGTAGCAGGTATTCTTGGTAGCAAATATATGTTTAATCCCCACCTGTGGTGACTGTGATGCACCGCCGCCGGCGCCGCCATGGTCGTGTACGCGTTCGTGCTGCCGGCACCGCCTCCAACAGTCGTCGCCATGGTAACGTTCCCACCAGGTGCAGAGGCTCCGCCCTGCGGTGCGTTAGCGTGATGCCGGTGGGCGTGGCAAAGCGCAAGGGGAGGGGCTTGCTGGGTTGCCGTCGCCACCACCGCTCCAGCAGCCGCCAGCACGCCACCACCATCTAAACGCGCCACCGCGGGGTTTGACGAGTTGCCACCGCCCGAACTGTCAATTTTCGCACTTAATGCTATCTCTGCTGTTTGTTAGTTAACTGCAACGAAAAGCATTAGGTCTTAAGAAGACATCAAAATTAGTAGGTACAAATCAGGAGACAATATTTACTCAAAAGACTGTCCTAGAGACCAATCAATCTGCTAATACATCATAAGCGTTTAACTTTTCTAATCTGATCAATAATTAGTTTAATGGATTAGGTAATACACAAAAATAATGTCACAAGTTCTTATAAAAAAATATCCTTCGGTCCCTAAATAAAGCTACTGGAATCGGTTCTTCCCAAATAGCTTTTGAACGATACTAAAACGAGTAAATGTTTTACATAGCCAGAGATGGACTTTTTTACAATGCCGCGGAGGCAGAAGCCTAAATGCCAGAACACCGCGGCTGCTATGAGGGGCTTGGAGAAACTTTTGTTAATCCGATTTTTGAACTGCCTAAGGTTAGCAGAACTGCGAAAAGCCTCCTATTGTAGATTATTCCGCAATCTCTATATCCTAGGGACAACTGAGCGGTCGTATCGGCCAGTTGTGGATGTACGAAGTTGGAGACGGTTAGGATGACAGGCGGAAGTCAGGCATCATGAAGGAGAGCTCTGAGGAGCAAAGCCCGTTGGCGTAGCGGTAGAAGAGAGCTAGATCGCCGAGGGCCCTCCGGTGCAAAAGGGTCCAGAGGCTCCTCTGGCCAGCATCAAGCATGGATAATAACTCAATATTACTGATTTTTTCACTCCCTGTTCAATAATGGCTTAAAAATGACATTTCTGGACAGACTAATCACGCAGCAAAAAATGCATTCTTGTTCGACTACTAGAATGAGCCGTTTTTGAGAAAAAAGTTTTAATACTGTTCCTATTGATTCACAAAATATTCGACAAAAATACAAAACTCGATTGAGTGATCTGAACATGTAGATATATTTATTCTGAGGTGTTTAAAAAGATATATCGCAATATCATTTCAATTACCATACCACCAAGTATAATAGACCCAGTGTTGACATTGATGAACAGTGTTACAACCTGATTTAAAAAAAAAATAGCTTATTTTATCGAAATCGAGCAATGTTTTAGCTTAGGGATCAAGATATCCAAAAAACGTGTCATTACTATACAGTGTGTAAAAAATCAGCAATACAGTGGTAGGAGTAGTCCACTCTTGGCCGTATCGTCAGTCGTTCCCACAATTGGCCTCCTTGATTTTCATAGTCTTTTCTCTCCTTCAAACCGGCTATGCTATTTCTATATTTCTACCGTTCCGTGACAACGTCAAAGCTCTCCTATTGTGAGGCTACGTTTTCTTTTTGATTTGTAGAAAATTTCAGGCTGATATGGCAGGTGATATAAATCAAAAGCATGCACAATTTGATGCAAATAGATATTTGTAACATAACCCCAAAATAGATCGCTGACACGGAACACTAGAAAACTACGAATATCAAGGAAGCCATAAAGGCGTCCTACAATCGTAGGAACGACTGACGATACGGCCCTAAGTGAGTAAATTATTTTACATAGGTACCGCCATGTGAAGCAACAATTGGTTACTGCGCTCTACAATTCTGTTGAGTTACAGTGTCATTCTGACGTTATTTACGGTAAGAAAAACCAATTTCCAGTAACATCATTTAAGAACTTGTATATCCTTAGAGGAGCCCTGTAGGACATCTTTATAGACAGGGTTACCGGCCATTCGACGTATTCCTTCCAGGGCGTGAAATGCAAAATATTTCACCCATAAGTATGGCCAAAAATCCACAACTTTCGATTTTTCTCAATTTTTGCGATTTTTTGAAAATCACCGAAACTGGGAATTTGAAACTAAATGATTAAAAAGCTATGTTAGAAATGCATGAGAATTCGATCGATCTTATTTTATACTTAAATTAAGCGAATTCATGCATATATAAAAGCTGAAAAAATACTACACACACAAAATAATATAACTCCTATTTAAACTAAAAGTTCGTTTTCAGCTTTCCTTAGAACTGTGTCTGTGTCTGAGCGCATAAATTGCTAGGAAAACTTGCCCCTATAGTCAGATTTCCAAAAAGGTATTAAATAAACAACAGTACAAAATCGTTCAATTCCTAACAACCATTCAAAGAAATTTAGGTCATATAAAAATCGATCAACTGATATTTTTCATAAAGCCTTTTAGGTGCGGTACAGGTCTGCATTCGCAGTATCGCTCCTACTTTTGTCAACTTTGTGACAAAAGGGTCCTCAGTTATTTTGCCTTATTGTCTATGCCAATGTTTTTCAAAGTTGGCGAGGGAATGGACACCTTTTCCCCTAGTTCTCAATACTCTCTCCAAAGTCGGATATCTTGAACAATTTCGGGGGGTGCTTGAAAATAACTAATTCTTAAAATGGACGGTAGGCGAAATAACTTTGAGATACCTCTGGTCTATGCACTAGTGACATTGCTCTTAAAAGGCGATCTATCCAAGAAATACATTAAACCAAAACAATAAATAGCCGTGTTCAGTGTTTGATCAGCAAGTTGATATATTTCAAGAAACGGGAAGTATAACTGTTATTGGGCAGAATCGATCGAGCCCATATATATAGGACCAATACCAAACCAGGTAGGTGGAGTGGGAGACTGCACAGCCGTGCATTCAGCCTTGCCGGCGTTCTGGTGTCTGATGACGTGAAGTATGCGTGGGTTTAGTTTCTTTCTTCGATAGAGGGACTATAATAATATATGAAGAATTTTTCGAATAACCGCCCGTGTCACGTGTTTACGATATGTAGCTCTTCATTGCTCCACAGACACAGATAATTCTCAATTCTGCAATGATCAATGATTACGATGGTAGTATATTTTATGGTTTTGTAGAATCGCTGTTAATACACCGAAAGTATCAACATAGCTTCCCAGATCGCCGATTTCTTACCTTTTATTTTACAGACTTCATGAAATGCATTATCCTGGCAATATGTAGGCTCAGTGTACTAGCGATTTTTAGACCTAGTGTTGTTGTGAGGAGAACTGAAAACAAACACTTTTTTATTTCTCGAAATAGCTGTTATTTTATTGTGTGTAGTATTTTTGCACTCTTTATGATTGTATTAGTTTAATTAGATATCAACTAGGAAAATCAATTTCGCATTTTATAGATATTTTTTATTATTTAGACCCATATATACAATTTTTGGGTGATTGTTAAAAACAGAAACATTGGAAAATCTTGAAAATTATTGATTTTCGATCATGCAGTGAAAATTGTTGCATTTGAGGCCCCTGTCATGCCCTAGAAATAATACTATGAAATCTAGTAACCCTGTCTAAAAAGACGCATTATTTTTCCGCCTTCCATAAATGTATTTAAGAGATTGCTTATACTGGAACACCATGTATTGTATATATTCTTTTTTGAAAAATGCTTGTGAGACAAACAAAAACTAGTGAATTCTCCAAAGGTTTTTTATTTCCATGTTTTTCTTATCCTAAAAAGTCCTTCAATATTGCACAATGTGTATAAACATGTATTTTATTGTTCCGGGAGTTGTAGACTTCAGGAAGTAGTAGCAGCATATACATATAGGTGATTATACAGTATTTGGGATTTTGGAGTTCTGCCAAAAAAATCTTAAGTAAACCGACAAATTGTGGAAATAAACTATCCAAATAGTCTAAAATATCATGCCTTGTTTGAAACATGTAATTAAATATAGGTATTAAGATTTAGGCACAATATGCTTATAAATTAACAAAATGTATACTCCAATGTCGTGCTCCATTCCCAAAAATTTATATAATCGCATAAAAACACGTTTTTTTGCGGGTCCTGAAAATTGTGTCACCCTCACCTGGCTCAAATCATTTTCATGTAGATGTGGCAATTTTGCGATTTGAGCTCAATCAACGCGTAGCAAATCGAGAAATGAATGAATGAAACTAGCACGGTTTGGCCTACTGAAACCAGTAACATGTCAGTAGCTCTCGCAGTGTCGGCAGATATCCTTTTGCCTGTGTGGTTCCAGTGTTACCCTGGTAACAATACTCTTGTGAATTTCAATGGTACATTACTGCAGCCATGTAAAAAAAATAAGAATTCTGGAATACAAAAGTCAAGAATCACATACCGTATAATTATTATTATATTGTATCTTAATTTTTGTGGAGGTCATATACGTTTTTGTCACTACCTTAGCGTTACTCCCTGGCAGTTTTCATGTCAATTGTTTTTTTACTTTTTTCTTTTTCTACTTTTTGCCATTTTGTTACAATAAAAAATATTATAAACAATATAAACAACAGCAGCGAACAGCTATCAAAAAAATGGCTATCTTCCAAACACAAGTTACCCTAAGGGTTTGTAAACTCTCAATCTGTACAATTATCTTGTTTCAAGTCCAATTGAACTGAAGACTTACTTTTAATAAAGAACTATTGAATTTATTTAGCTACTGATATTTATATCATGTCAAATATGTAACACATATCATAATATGACTATATTATAGTCTTGTGACATAATGAATATGAAAACAAAATAAGCTATTTTTACAAGCTTTTATTTAACTTGACCTGTTTGTATGTTATGTATGTACAAATGTATGTGTGGGACAAATCTTGGAACAGAATTTTTGACCAGTTAACTGACTGAGCTGAAATTTTGTAAGCGGGTTTAGTTTGCGTGACAACACAAAATGAATTAACTGCCGTCATTTTGAATCCAATATGGCTGATGTATGCCTATAATAATATAATAAGGGTATCAAATGGAAAGGCTTGATGAGAAAACACAATAAGCAAAGTGACGTCATTCCAAATCCAATATGGCGGTCGCCGCAAAATGGCGATGTTCATATTTCAAGGTCACCCCTACAACTTGGGTATCAAATGAAAGAGCTTGATCAGCGAAACAATAAGCAAAATGATGCCATTTTAGATCCAATATGGTGGCCGCCGCTGAATGACGATTAATAATTTCCATGATTACCAGGGCTTAATGAGAGAAACACAATAAGCAAATAAGGTCATTCTAAATACCACATTTATGGCGATCGCCGCAAAATATCGATATATCATTATATGACAATACAATTTCATGGAGTCCCATTAATAAATCTTAATTATGGAAGTTATATAGAAATTCCAAAATCTTGAGATCAGCTTCATTCTCGTTTAAATATAACAGCTAAATAAAAGCTTGTTTATTGAAAAGGAGTTTATTATTTTATTTATTCTTAGTTGACCCTGAAAACTTAAATACTGTATATTCACCCATATAAAGGAGCATTTACTCCAATTGTGCTGATGACTGAAGCCCAGAACCTAACATTTGTTAGAAGAAACAAATACATGAAATTTGAAGATGCTAATAGTATTTTCAACACAAAATGTAATAACCATTATTTTTAAAGTATCCAAAGCATTTAAATTTTTTTTCAAACTATCAGCTCGCATTTATGTTACTTTAGGAGGACAAGCCATTATTTAGATTTTATCACACATCATTGATGCTCATCTTTTCATATCTAACCATTATTAGAAATTAGAAGCCTTTAAGAATTAGATATTTTCTCCATTTTTAGTTAATCTGAAATATATTTAATGTTTTGCATTAATCGGAAAAATTGTTATAAATTAAAATTTTTGACAGTAATTAATAAATTTATGCTGAACAAGGAGTATTAAAAGGCGTTTTTGTAAAAAAAATAATTCATAATTCACATGCTCACCTCAATCAAATTCATTGCAAAGTGGATAATGTATTATGATTCTTGCCTTCACAAATTAATTTTTGTGGTGTTGGAATTCGGGAATTTATTCTGTGTTTTATGTTTACTCAGAGAATGGTAGCTTATAATGACAGTTCCCATAACTGCAAATGACGCATTTTTTCACACAAAAAATAGGAATTTAAATCTCCACATACTACAAAAGAGGATAGAGGTTGTAAGTGTTTCAGAACAGTTTTGCATTTTTATTATGAAAAAGTACATCTATTTTTGTACCTATACACTAGCAAACACTCTGCCACAACAAAATATTGCGCACAAGCACGACCCATTAAAAACAAATACTAAATAATTAGACAAAGTTGATGTTATAATAGAGTTAAGTAAACACGTGATAATAGTAAACAAGCATAATAAGGATCTCTCTGTAAAAAGCTATGGAAAATTTTTAACCAATAAGGATCATAATATAATGTTCATTCAACTTTTACATAACACCTTCAAATGAGAGAAGGTAAGTAATATTAGTGAGGTGGCAGCATTGAATTCTTTTGTTATTATCAATATTGTGAATACATTTTTTTCAAATTGCAGCATGAAAGGAGACATTCAGAAACTAATAATAATAATAATAGTTAAACACTTAGCAGGACTAAATTATGTGTTATACAACGCAGTATTTTTGGTTGTAGTTATAATTTATAATCGAAAACCTATCAAAATATTTAGGTATGTTCTAAAAATGTCAAATATACGTTTGCTTAGAATTTAGAATTAGTTGGGGTGTAGCCGAGAGTCCGACTTGTTTACACGTCTTATTTCGCAACAACTAGATATAACCGAATTTCTTGGAATCAAGGCATGTCGTGCTCAATTTTTTTGTTTACCTAATGATTCGCGTTGCGACAAAACAACACCATGCCGTTGCTTACGCTACACACGAGCCAAGCAAGGCAAGGGCACACACCGTTAACCCACCCGTTAACCTGAGGAAACCGCGCACATTCCAGTCCAATGAAAGGTGCAATGCTTTCGTCTGTTGCTTGTTTGTCTATTGCTCAACGCGAAAACAATCGTCACACTCACGCACAAACGCCTTTTTCGTTTATGTTGGAATAACTGAAAGTAAACACAACACGTAAACAGTTTTGTAACCGTACAGCACTGGTTACATTACGAGTTACGGCCAACCGCGCGTTCACTGTTGTTGTACGACGGAAATGCCTTCCCGATAGTCGCCTATACCGTTTAGCGTTGATACTCTGCTACACACACTTTAGCAGACATCTGCTACTGCTACTACACACGAACTATATCGTAACACTGGAGTAATACAGCCGTGGCACCACTCGACAATGACAAAATGCTTTTAAAAGGCTATCTCCATTCAATATGCGTCGCGGCAAGTATGTTTTCTCTCGTTTCGTAAAGCGACGTTGCCGCTATTTCGGTAAACAAATGACAATCGGCCGCCGTTGGGGAAATTCCTGCGGTGATGTCACGCAAAAGATAAAGTTCATCGTAATGGGAACTAGATCATCCGTTATTTACCAACTTATTCAACAACACTATTTGAGTCATTGACAATATACTCTACAATCAGATTCAGAGGTATCATTCTGACAGTTTTCTGTTGTTACAGGGCATTTAAATACAAGCGCGGAGTCAGAGAGTGCCTAGGTCACTTATACTAGAATTCCGAAATGAATATACGAGCGCACCGACTTTGTCGATTCATGCAAACTGCACCAGCCGTAGTGGCGTATAAAATGTGTTCTGTTGCTCTCTTCCTTTTCGGTACCAGACTATAAACACTGGCGGATTTGGGAAGCAGCCTAGGGGAGGAGACCGAGCAAGGGTGCTCACAAAGATTGAAATTTGAAGAGCAGGGGGGTCAAAAGTAAAAAATATTGGTGATCAGTCTCGACTCGCCCAGGGGAGGGTCATAACCCCTCCTCTGAATCCGCCATAGTTTTTCTCGTTTAGATATACCGCAATTAATTCCACTAAAGCAAAACTTTCTTATTCCCGAGTTAGGTGTATTACTTATTTGGAAAAGAAAATATACATTTTATATCATTTTCTTGCTGTCTGCAGGAATTTTGATTAAACATTATATTATATTTTTTCTTATACAGTATAGTTTGCCTTATTTCTGCCATTTACCTGTTATAAATATATTTGTGAATGTATGGCAACGTTGACAGGGAGTACACTTCTATGGAATCTGAATATAAACAGTAAACAATGAGTGCGCATGTGTTGATCGCACGATTCAATACCGACGAGACGAAGAACGTAGGTAGCAGGCAAACTGCACTCCAGGCCGTAGCGCTTGATGCACATATTTTATAGTTCAGATATTGAAGTTAATCGGAAATCGCGTTTAGACAGACAGAAATTTTGACTGCCTGTCAAAACGGTCTACGGACCGTCCAACGGGATGATTATTGTTGGTTAAAGTCATTTACGGTATTTTTCACGAGTATCCATCACTGTAACATGACAGCTAATTATCTAGTAATATTTCAAAATTCCCCATATCCGCAAAGGACACATAATTCTGACGGATCCGTCAATGCCAGGTAAACAGAGACATTTTTAAAAAAAATTTTGAACACTACAGATTCAGTTGGTACTTGCTAAAATCTCTTTTATTTAGAAAATTTCATTTGCATACAAAAAACAAAACGCTACGAACAAGTTTTACTAGATTTATACCCGATTCATTATTGCCAACGTTGCAGACTAACACAAAAATGTCACTTGCTGATCAGCTGTTCACCTCGGCAGACATCAAAGCCTGATGGATACTCGTGAACTAGGGTATAGGTCAGATAATAGTCGATGTTAGGGAGGAAGGAAGAAGGGATATAAAGCGCAAAACGGAGGAAGTTCGTCGCTAGGAGCTCCAAGATTTAATTTTGTTCACAGTGCAAGCTGCTGTCCGGTGTGCTTGCAAGCTTACGCGAATATCTACGAACTCACACAACAGACAACAGAGGATTGCTATGCGGTTCCGCTTGCCTAGAAAAAAATCATCAAAAATATTTAAACAGCAGATTTTCTTTGATTATTCTTGAACTCCGAATGGTAGCATTGGAATAAAGTCTTAAAGTCCTTAAACTATAGCTATTTTCATGCTCTGTGTTATAAAAGAAAAAAAACTAAAGAGTATATCACTACAAAAAAAAATATTTTGACAAAGAAATATTTCCGTAATGCGATACTCTCTTATAGTATGGTCCGCTGTCTTGTAAACTTTAAGTCGGTACATAACTTATTGTTTTTGAAAGAACTAAAATGTTGAATTCGCTAAGATATTAATAAGACATTGCGTTCCATCAACAACACAGGACCACGTAGAGTTGTGTAGGGGTCCTACTACATTTTTCCCTTTTTTTTCCACTGGACACAAATCTGAAGTCAGAATTGGTGGTCGATAAACAAACATAAGTAACTTCGACACATGAGTGCCCGCAGGAATTTATCTCATGAGGGGCCGATTATCGGCAAGAGATAACGTTTTGTGGAAGTGTGCTGTCCAAAATATTTTCAAGAGTGGGAGGCAGCAAATTTTCCGAGGCGGCAAATGCTAAAATACTAGATATGTAAATTTTTAAAGTAAAACCAGATTCTGACGGCCACCGACCCCTAATTCTTACTTCAGATTCATGTTCAGCGAAAAAACAAATGGGAAAAATAGAGTTGGCAGCATAACTTCCTTTTTTGAAATGCACGCGTCAGTCGTTTGATGTCGTAGCGGAACGCTAGTGATCTCGTTCGAAATGCGGGACTATAAAATGGCCTTCCTTTCGAGTGGATTTTTTTGTGATTGCAACACAGCGCGCCATTCCGAATCACTTTAATTTAGCCCAGTCGGACTCTGTCCCGAACCGAAAATTGATATTTACTGCAAGTGACACAAGACGAAGAACTGGTGTTCTTCGATCCATTAGATCACCTGAAAACATTGAGAGCTTCAATTGTGCGATCACCGCGGCGTTCTGCTCGCAAACCCGCGTCTGCCCTTGGATTTTCCGATCGTTCTGTGAGGAGAATTCTTCATACTGATCTTCATTTCCATCCTGACAGGATGGCAATTATGAACTCGTGTGAGCGTCTTATCAAAGTCGTTCATGTAGACGTTATTGTTTTTTTCACAATTTTGAACATTGTTTTGGCATTTTTTTCAAATCTCATACTGTATACCCATCTTACAGATTACTTGCAGCTCATAAGCTCTACACTGAGGAATCCCCTGGAAGACCAGTAGTAGATGGCGCTGGTTAGGTTGGAGATCATGTCTGAGGTTATAGACAAATATGTCAATTGTGGATCAGCTGCTTACGCCAATAGATGTCAAAACGTGATGAACTCGTGAAAAGTAAGTTGCCTTTCTATCGAATGTTTTTGGCCCGCCTACGTTTGAGAGTTTTACCCTTAACACACTAGCGGCAGCAAAACTGGAGATCGTTGCCATTACTGAATTTTTTAAGCTAAAGTGAATTACAACTACAGTTTCCAGGAAAGTTGTAATCGAGATATTTTTCATATCAGAATGGTGACAAATATATTAAGTCGGATCTTAGCGCATTAACATATATTCATATTTAAGCACACGTACACGTTCCGTGCATCATAGGAACCGACTGAGGACGAAAAACTACACTCCAAAGTGATTAGAATTTGGAAACTAGTACATAAGAAAATGAATCGTATTAAAACATTGACATACTCCAAAAATTATTGACAATGAAAAAAAAAGAAGTTAATCGGAAACTTGACCAATATAAGAACTTTTGGATATCTTGCCCGACAAAGCGCATCGACCAAACTGACATGAATATGACTGTTTTTGGATACGCAAACTGTGAAACTTGCAGGAATTAGGAAAATCATATCGTTTCAAGTATGCTATATGACCATAATTATAATTACGCATCTACCGAATACTACATCCAGCAGTAGCAGTACAAAACAGAAATGAAAAAATATATAAAATATCAAATAGAATGTTTTAATCATCTAATTTGCAGCAAACACTACAGTTTCACTTACACCCTAGACTACATGTGATATAAAAACTGTCTACACAATGGTCGAGGATCAATTTATTTCGGAAAATCGAAGCACATGATTCTTAAACATACAAAAATCAAACATTTAATATTACACAAATGCTTATCTCCTATCTCTATCCTTTCTCTTATCCTCGTCCCTTTTTCTATCTCTACGATCTCTGTCTTTGTCTCTCTCCTTCCTATCCTTTTTATCTCTATCGCGATCTCTATCTCGTTCTCTGTCGCGTTCTTTGTCCCTATCTCGATTCCTGTCTTTATCTTTTTTGTGTCTTGTCCTTTCCCTTGACCTTGATCTGCTCCGATCACGTTTTCTGCTTTTCTCCTTTTTATCTTTTTCCTTTTCTTTCCCCTTTTCTTTATCATGGAGATCAACAAGATCGTATTTAGTTTCATCTTCTAATTCAATATCTTCATCAAGATCATCCTCTAGAGCTGATACCTTTGCTTCTAACTCATTGTTTTCTTCCAATATTGAACGTTTTTGAATGCGTGGAAGAATAACATCGCACACCTGAAACAATATATATATATATATATATATATATATATAATGGTAATAAAAGAACGTTTGTATGTTTGACATGTACTTTTACATGTGAAAAAATAGACGCGTCCTGAACGATAATCAGGAGAAAATTTGCTAAAATTCTGAAATCTACATTGTTTAAATATCCGCACCAATATTGCAATAATTCGTAATAAATATTTTAATATGTTAATGACAAGATCTTTATTTTCACTTATGAATGCATGACAACAGTCAAACTTGAAAACTGAAATTCATACAAACATAAACCACCTTTCTTCGAGTTCATCTATGACTACTCAAAATGTGGAATTAGCAACAGCGCTTAGGTCTCTACAGCAGATTATTAGTCGCCTGCTAAGCGCCACTCAGGCATTGCAGGCGATCTTTCCGCTAAATGGCTAGGTACAATAGCAGACAGCCTGCATTCATCAAAATTCTTTTCTGGAATTATTTGGGCCTTAGGGATGTCCCCAAAAAACGGGAATTTCATCAAGCCCTTTTGGATGAAAGCGTAGATGTGGCTCTGCTGCAGAAAACATTACTTAATCCGGGAGATCGCCTAGCTTTCCCGAATTATGATGTTATCCGCGCTGACAGATTAACTGGACGGGGTGGCGGTTTGGCAGTGATAGGAAAACGTGGCATTGACTATTACAGAAGCACAAACGCTGTATGCAGAGCATCGGGCAGCTTCCGTGGTAGTGATATCGAAAAACTGTAGATACAGTGTCACTTCTCGAATCATGTATGACATTTCGAGCGATCATCTTCCTATCGTAATGGAAATGGATAATGAGCAAACCTTGGAAGGGGAAACTCTTCCAAGGAAAAGGGTTGATTGGGAGCTATACAAGTCGCTCCTTAGAGAATTACCCCATATCTCGATCATAGATGATGAGAACGGTATAGATACGCTCAAGCGGAGTGGACAAGTTCCGTTCAGCAAGCTCTGCAGCGTGCAGCTGTACTACCAGTACACGGCAGACCTTTTCTCCGTGCAGACATTCGTCAGAAAATTTCTGACAAAAGAGCTGCAACTAAGCAAGCGAAGAGGTCTTGTCACCCAGATGACATTCGCAGAGCAACGAATCTTGTTCATGAAGTGAGAAATGGTCTTCATGAATTCCGTAATGAGCAATGGAGCGACTTTCTGTCGGGGATGCTTGACTTAAGTATTCCTCTCTGGAAAGTTGCAAAGTCGCTCTGAAACGGAAAGCGAGAACAACTCCCACACATCCACGGTCCTGGGGGCATAGTCTGTAGGACAGAGGAAAAGGTCGAGGTTTTCGCTGATGCAATGGAAAGTCAGTTCTCTCCCAACTATGAGCTTGTTAATGACCTCGACGAGGAGCAACATATTGTGAGATCCGTCAGGAGATATTTTAGGGCCAACGGTGTCAGTGGCAGTAGTGCCTCCCTTAGTGATTCTTCCTTCTTACTCAGCTGAAGAGCTGCATGGCACATCAGCGGAATCTCCTGAGACTCCGCATTGCACATCAGCAGAGCTTCAAAGTCATATTAAAGACCTCAAGGTGCGTAAAGCACCTGGAGTGGATCGAATCACTAATAAGGCGCTGAAGCTATTTTCGCGGAAGTCCTTAACTTATCTCGTGACACAATAATCAATGCCATGCTAAGGACCCAGCACTTCCCATCGGCGTAGAAGACCGCTGATGTCATAATGATTCCAAAGAAGGTGAGTTTGATATTCCCCTAGGATTACCGCCTCATTAGTCTACTGTCAGCTCCTAAGCTCGCTGAAAAGTTGATTCTAGGTCACCTTGAAAATTTCTCGTCAGACCACAATGTTATGCCTGACGTGCAATTTGGCTTTCGGTCTGAGTATAGTACGGATCTACACGCCATTAGGCTTCGAACTTCTGGATGTCTCAAAGGCAATTGACAAGGTGTGGCACAAGGACCTTCTCTACAAAATGATCCATAAGGGCTTTCCCTTCTGGCTCCTAAAACTTTTAAAATCCTTCCTCGAGGGTAGGAAATTTCGGATCAAAATTAAAAAAAACATAGCGGCGCCCCGTCTGAGGTTTCAGTGAATGGAGCTCGGGTACCAGGGAAAGAAAACTAAATTCCAAATCTCGTTTCGGCAACTCTACCCTATGCTATGTAGAACATCAAAATTAAGTTTGATCAACGAAGTTCGGCTATACAAGATGGTTATTAGACCAGCGATCACTTACGCAAGTGCGGCTTGGTGTTTTCTCGCCAAAACGCATTTGCGTAGCCTGCAGGTTTTGCAGAACAGAACCTTGCGTACAATCACTAACGCCCCATGGTATGTTTCCAACCAGACCCTTCACAGAGACCATGACATCCCTTACCTAAGGGACTACATCAAACAACAAGCGCAGCTACGTTATAGTCATGCGGAATCGCATAGCAACATTTTGTTGCGCGAGTCAGTAGACTACACAGTCGAGCAAGTTCGCAAGCACACAAGGACACGACTCGCACTGCGAAGAAAATTAAATCGTGCGACTTTAGGTCCAACCAAAATTATAATTTTTCTTCATCAACCAATCTCAAAATTAATTTTAGGATCAATTTAAAATTGCCGAATACTAATTAGCAGTGCCAAGGCACTCCTCAAATTGACGCTCTTCTTTGCTCTCCTTCCTTCCTTTCTTCTTCCCTTCTTGCTCCATGACTTGTTTGGTATCTGGGCAACCTGACCTGACAAACCTACTGACTTACAAGACTTTAACCAAGAGCAAAGGTCTTACGGACCGCTCTGACAGACAATAACGAATAGAAGAAACAAGAAACCACCGTTATTATTGTCAAAAGTTTTTACTTCCAATGCCAATAGGCGAGAAAAGTATTGTAACTAGTTGCAGAAAATTTAATTCGACGTTTGACTTTTAGATATGTGCCATGAAATAGGTTGCATTGCGTTGTCAAAGGAAAAGCAATGTCATTTGAAGCTGGAAATATTCATTTTCAAGAAAGTTCAGACTAGCCTTCATGCCACCTTTACACCGGAATGGTAGAACAGGACGGGATCGTTGATCCAGGACGTTTCAGAAAAAAATGCTGATGAAGATGAATAGTTTGAAAGTCGTTCTCACTGAACCCCGAGATAGTGTTTGCTGGTCTCGGTTCGAGTCCATGCAACTTATTTACTCACATAAATATAGTGCATTCCTTAATGATGTGCTAATTCGATTCCTCAAATAATAATATCTAACTATTGTCAATTTGAATTTTGTTGAACAATCTGATAGGTATTATGAGGGGACCATTTGCTGTTAAAGCGAGGCTACATAATATGTTGTGGGGTACGCAAACAGTACTTATTCCTTAGATTGTAACCACTCTCCACATTGCTGCACTCATATTTAGCAAAGTTTTTTCGAACATGACATACAAAATTAAACATATAAAGTGAGTATATCGTCATGATGTGAAGAGTTTTGAATAGCTCCCGGCTAAAAGTTATTATACAGCTCCCGGCTAAAAGTTATTGTACGAATCACTCTCTTCTGCACAAGTAGCACTTCCAACATAAGTGAGCTGCTACCCCAGCAAACGATAGAGTAATTCATAGCGGAGTACGTGAGCAAAATAGTACATCCTAAGTACTTCAGTACTTACAAACTGTCTTAGTCTCCAAAACCCAAAACAATGCTTTGATATTTTGATGACTAAACAGTCAATATGATCCCTCCAAGTGAGCCTTGAATCCATCATAACACTAAGGAATTTAGTGACCTGAAGTGCTACGCCATTCATAACACAGTACCTCTCCATGTGATATGATGCAACAGGAAACTCGGTACTCAGCTGAGTTGGATCTTTAGTTTTAACCGCCCACATTCTGATTTTTAAACGTTTGCAGATGACACTCAACTTATAAATTATTTTGACACCTCTTGTACGCAGGATTTTGCTGTTCTATCAAGGCAGGATCTGAGCAAAGAGCCAAAATATTCAAGTGACCACAATCTAACAATTAATCCAGATGAAATACAGATATTACTATTTTGCTCATTCATTTAATCATCTGCAAAATTGTAAATTCGATTTTTGAATTACTGTGATAATCTATATTATCCATGATCCGAGCAGCTCATGAAGAACCGGTTGCAAATTATTCAAAATAATTGCATCAGTTCTATTCATGGCTTGAGAGAATTTGAACATGTTAGCGATGAATACCATCATATAGAATGGATAAAAATTGCCAAACTAGTCGGGTACAAGTACTTGGAGTTTTTGCACAAGTTGACAGTCGCATCAAAGTCCATTAATTTGAGAGAACAGATTATATGTTGTTATGATGTTCATAAAGGAGTATTAATGATCAGAATACCACCGCTTTCTATGAAAATTTTTAAGCGTTGCTTTAATGGTCTAAATTTCTTGTCAATATTATCCGGGAGAGACTGCCTCCGACACGTTATTGGAATTCATAATGATCTTCTATAGTTAGTGCTAGCTTATCTTATTGCAATGAACAACAACTGATAAACTTCAAACAAACGGCACAAGTATCTTTGAGATATGAATAAAACTCCTGACTTTATACGTCACATGTTTATATGATCTTTTCTAGTTGAATTTGGTTCAGGAATTCGCCCTTGTAATAAGAGTCTATCGTTAAGTAACACCCTGTATATAATTGGAAAAATGAGTTTTGCTAATTTACAAAAATGTCCATGTTCATAAAATTATAAAAAACTCGAAATATATCACATTTTATTTATTTTTTCATACCTTACCCCTATAAAGGATTTTTAATGCCCAAAATTATATGTAATAAGATTCTAAAATCTACAAGGTTTGCAAACGATCATGAACAGTTTTTTTTCATAATTATGATGCTACTGCAGGTTAGTAACCTGTATCTAGTAGAACATCGAGATGTACATGAATATGTGGGAAGTACCGAGTCAAAATACTTGACACCGTTGTTTTAAGTAGTATGCTTTCTAAATAAGATATGTATTTAAATAAAATATAAG